GCATCCTCCAGCACGGCCAGTCGGCCATTCATAGCATTTAATCGGCCATTTATTCTCTGGTCCATTGAAGCCAAGCGGCGCTCAATGTTGGAAATTGCAGCTGAGAAAGGGCAGTAATAGAAAGCCGCAATACTCACTGACAACGTAATGCTGCCAATCGGTGCACTGCTGCATTACGGTGCCCGTGTGCTCAAACAAGGGCTGCAAAGAAGTGGCTGCCGGGTAGTTGACGTCTGAAGTTGGGTAACGGAAGATGTCAACATTACCTGCAGCTGGGCCCTGAGACACCTCGGTAACCCTGCTCCCCAACGAAGGAGATGGATTCTCTAAATCGTGTTTCACCTCGTCCTCTCTCCCACCAAGGAGATACTGATCGCCACTGTAAATGGGAATGATTGACCGCCCGCTTCCGTTGCAGTCCACATTCCGAGGCTCTTTGTCCATTTATATTGACTGCAAGGGGTAGAAAGAAATTTTATAAAGGGGACAACCTGTCTAATATGGTATCCACAAATATTCGCCCTCCAACAAAAAGCTAGGGAGTGTTCGTTTGCACGGTTCGCTAGTCAGTGAATACTCAAGGGGGTGTCGTTGTGAGGTCTTTCGCGAATGCTTTCAGCAGACAGTATCGGAAGCATGTAATGAAATATCCCATAGGAGAGGGAAGGAATCCTCACAAGGAGGACTTACCAATTTCTTAAAGGTTCTTTTACTACTATCTCAAGAACATGTGCAGAAAGTTTTGTTTTATAAATGTCCACTGGTGTTGAAGGATTAGGAAACCGGAAGACTTCAAAAACGTCTTTCAAATTCTAAACTGAGAACTGAGGGGTTCATTAGCATACACTTTTTTATCGTACGTGAATTGTTGACGCAGGCAAAAGAAAACATCGCCAGCAGTAGATGATAATCGTGCAGTACACGAATCGACATGGCTTCCTTCACCACCTACTAAATGCATTTACTTTGGACCTTGAAACTTACTCGGATAATACTGGTTATAAAGAGTTATCCTAACAAAGCAAAGAGCCAAAATAAAAGGGATGACTGAAAGCAAAATTGGTACTGGCTGGGGATCGCCTTCACTGTTCCACCACCAAAGGTAGGCGCAATTGAGATAGTGCGCCTATGGATTTGGCTTAAAAGAGTCCTGCGCAGAGAGCACATGATA